TATCCGGATCTTGAGCGCGCTTTAACTGAAGAAGTCTTTTTCGATCCCGTCAGCTGTGACTACGTTCGTTTTCCATTTGGACTTTCAGAGCGACCCGATCGTGAATTTTCAATCATTATTCCAGCATACAATGAAACTGAAAGACGTAATGCTCCTTAAGATACTTATTGTTTTAGTTCCTAAAATGCTCGAAGAGTCACTGGCCTATCTAAATGAAAGAAAAAGGCTCGATTCAAAATTTTCCTTCGAGATTATAATTGTTGATGATGGCAGTACCGATGATACATACAAGGTAAGGTAGAAATTAATATTCTGTTTATGTATAGATGGCACTAAAATACACAGAAAAGTATACTTCGGACTCCGTACGAGTGCTAAAATTGGCCCGGAACCGCGGCAAAGGAGCAGCTGTCAGAATAGTAAGCAAGCGGCAGTTGAAATTTCTTATTCTTCCTGCCTGTTATCAGTATATATGCCACCCTCATTTTGTTCAGTATTAAGGGTATATGCCCTAATGACAGTACCACGGGTACTCGATCTCGACACTTTGGTTTATTTATGTTCTGCCGCTTTCACTGTAGCCACTTCGTAAATGTCAGCTTTATATCAAAAGTTCAATTTAACATAAGATTTTTAACATATTTCATATTGCGATGCTTAGGAGGCGATGGCTTGGTCTACGTCAATTACTTGCCTAATAATTGTGTAATACTCTGCGACATCTAAAGCTTCTTTTCCCTGGCGAAAATTTGAAGATTGTATAAACAGCAAAATTTTGATGTTTGCACAATCTGCGACATCTATTGGTTCGCCCATTTTGTGACAACACCAACAATGAATATGTACAAGGCTTATAGTGCTCGTTGACTTTTTGGTAAATTTGCTACAAAACCGGATATTAAGGACATCTTAACCTCGGACAGGACTCACACTGTTTCTGACCATCCAAAAAAAACCTGCGAATTTTTCCATGTCATACATTTACATGGCTCGTGCATAAACCAAGTTGGTTGCTGCATGCAAACATATTGAAACTAATCGGGAGAGCCGATGACAGATCAAACTACGTATTAACCGGAGAGACTAAAAGAATTTAAGATCAAACTATAATTATGACATTCAACGACCGCTAATAAACACAGACACTATACTAGTATCAATCTCTGTAGGTTTGTTTAAAAGTTGAGTATTCTGTATATTTATTAAGGGTCCGACGACAAATTTTTTAACCAGTGCTGACGATTTTTGGAATTAACTGAACTGACCTGAATTCCTTAGCTGCCTGTCTTTTAGCGGACTCACCACACACCCCGTCTGCTTAAAATTCCCCAGTGTATTAATACACCGCATTAAGTCTAATCGCATCCATGATAGCAGAGTTCATCACGGCATACCTACCTTCTGCACCT